TCCCTTGTCAAATTTGGTTTCGAGACAAACCGGTTTCGGCGTTGTGCCATCTTCATTAATTTTTTTTCTGTGGATACGTTTTTGAGATATTTTCAATTTACCGTTGTCAGCTTAAAAAAAGAGTGGTTCCACTTAATCACGTATATCATGCGAACCAATTAAATAATCGTGATACGAAATACGGCAAATGAAAGCCAATGAAGTAAAATTATATCCGTCAACATGTATACAAACTATGCATATTTACAAAGTGCACCATGTTTTTTGAGGTTAAAACAATTTTTTTTTACGTGGGGGATCAAAACGGACTTCAGATTCCTGTTCAGAGACTCTGAAAACATATATGTATGTAGAACACCTAGTCTGGTCAAAAGCACCTTCATATTTTTTTTTAGTCCTGTGTTAATAATTAGTTATTTAGTTTTTTATTATTATTTTTTACATTACCAAGCTTGAAAACTGAGTTTCCATTTTTCTCACTTATGTTTCAAGGTTCAAAGCATAAGGTGATGAGAGATATACGGTATTTGCGGGAACTTAACTACTGCACTGACGTGACAGAAATTTCCCTATTTTACTGACGTGTAATCTCTCAGATACCAATTTTCCAGATCAAAATATATATGATAGATATATATTAATGACCTTTTTTTCGATTTAAACTGGAAATTATATCAATATTTAAAGTACTCTTTAATGAAATAGTCACATAAATAAACTATTTCTCGAAAAATAGGCGCTTTTAGTAATCAATGTTATTGAAGCTCGAGAGAAATGTCGAACCGTCGGAGTCTGTCAGACTACCACGTCAGCCACAGAGGGTTAAAGAACTTTATATTGCTTGCTTGCAGAGGAAAACGTTTTTTGCGCAGCCGCTAAAGCAGCATTTAATTTTTATTCTCTAAATTTTTATGTTGTTCCCACTTTTGAATAAATAAATATTTCAAATCATAAAATTTCCTTTCTTTATTTTGAACAGGGACGGCAAATAATCGTTATTTTTTTAATTTTAACCAAAAAAATCAACATGTTGCAAACATCGTTAAACAATTTAAACTATAATTACCTATTGTATACGTCCTACTGTATTCTAGAAACATTTTTATTTTTCGAGTTTAACCTATAAATATTAAAAACTATAATTAATATTTGGTTTTTATTTTTTCACTCAAAGAAAATAAATTAAATTTATTTTTATTTTTTCACTTAAGAATAATGATTATTTAAAAAATCTTAAAATGTGATTACCGACATATTCTTTTCACAGGCAGCGACACCCTAATAAAAAGAATAAGTCCCAAAATTTGCAGGTCAAAATTTCAGCTTGTTGCACCTGTACGGCCTTTAAATTTTATAAATAACATTATTTTTAAGTGGAAAATAAAACTCAATAATAATTATTATCTCGGGGCGATAAAATAAAAATCGTAAAATAATTGTTTCCGTTGAGCGAAAAAATAGAAATCACACAATAATGATTAAATGCTGATTTAAATTTTTTTATTTGTAATGATTACGGTCCCTGATTTTGAATTTATTTGACATTTGAATCATATCGAGAGAGCGCACCAAGGCGAATTTATATAAGGTGGTGTTACTAGATCAGTGGATTTTGTGTAAGTGTTTCGCCTGACAGCTTGCTTCGAATGTCAAATTGAAATATTTTGTTTGCATTTCCATACACAATCTTACAGATTATGACGGTTCACATCGCAAAAGCAAAAACAAAATACATGTACATTTTTGTTCTTGCACTTTACTACCATCTTATATGAATTCGCTTTGGAGTGCACTTAAAATGCTAGCAAACATCGAAAAAACCCAATGGCGCACGAATTGATCGATCGGTTGTACCTTTAAATATATTTATCATGGAAAAAAGTTTAAAATTTTAATGAAAATGTGTTGCATTTTTTAGTTTTCTTCAAACTTTTTAACTGTATTTTCATTGAAAATTCTTAAAAATAAATAAATAAACATAAGTGGCAAACAATATCACTTTGAAATTGGGATGCTAATGATATGACCGATACTGTATACACATACAACCGTAAACATGGTGAAGAAATGGAGATTTAACTAAATGCGGTGGTGATGAAATTGTAAGCACGTCGCACAGTGACATCTACGAATTTATTTTATTCTTATGATGATATATGTACGTCTCCATACATATGTATGTATGTATATGCGTGTACTATATTTCCACATGCCGCAAAATTTGTAGGGCCTTCTACTTATAAGCTCTATTTAGATAGTGTATTTGAGCTTTTCTCAGGCAGTTGGAAAAAACAATCATAATAATATCTTAAAAGCGAATTAAAAATGCGTATTCGTAGATGAAATAAATGTTTCATTTCTTCTTTTTGTTTTGCGCTGTAACCGGCTATGCGATTTGTCAGCTGACACCAATTGGAAATGCCAAGCTAAGCCAAGCCATTATTCACCTGGTCTTTTTATCGCAGAAGAGGCCTTTCTTTCTTACCAGCATCGTCACCCGCGTTGTATATTTTCTTATTCGGTTTTACACAACATTAATAGTTATATTGGTCGATTGATAAAATCGAAACAAAGCTTTGGAAATTTCACATCTGAAGCGAAAAACTTTTTAAATCACCAAAGAAAGTGCTGGCTACGAATTTTGGTATGGCAGTGTATTTGAGAAAAAACTAACAAAATATGTAAAAAAGTTTTTTGAAAAAGTGTCATATGTATATGGCGTTTCGCATTAATGGTAACGAGATATGCATATATGAATATATGTAC